CTACAGTCAACGCTACAGTCAACGCTGCCAAAATGCTGGAAAATCCAGCATTTTGCTGTTCTGGACATTAAGAAGCTAAAAAACTATTATTTTCCTTTGAAACGAGTGAATTGTGGAATCTGCTGGTTTTCCCAGGGTTTTGGTAGTGTTGACTGTAGTGTTGACTGTAGTGTTGACTGAGTGTTGACTGAGTGTTGACTGTTATTTTGCACGCATTTGAAGCACCTTGGGAGTGCAAAACGGCATCCAGCAAAGTTACTGTCGTTGAAGCCAGAAAAGCGACTCAGAAGGCTAGTCACTCACGCTCGTAGAACATACCCGGCAACACTCGCCGAAAGGAACTGAAGAACAGAAGTGTTTTTGCATCTAGGGACTGTGGATGGACAAAATCTTGCACCGCTTTTCAGACACGTCTTTTTGTGTTCCCCGTGCCCCCTTTTTAACATTGGCTGTGAAAAGCTAACGGCCAGATTTGTTCCAATGGTCGAAATCTTGCACCGCTCAAGTAGTCCTAACCGCCAATGTTAAGCAGGGGGTGCGGGGCTTGATGCCTCAATCGTTTGAAGTACGAATGTACAGGCGGTGCAAGATTTCGTCCATCCACCGAAGAGCAGAAGTGTTTTTGCATCTTTCGCACACCTGCAGAAACTGGAAGCTGATAGTGCGTCCCCATCCTCTTCTACGGTGCCTGGACGTGCTCGGGACACACGACGCAGCAACTCATTCCATCTACACTCAACGCTACGGTCAAGTCAGTACTGCCAAAACGCTGGAGAATCGAGCGTTTTGCTGTTCTGGACATGAAGAAGCTAGAAAAAGCTGTATGTCCTATAAAAGCAACAAATGCATGCAAAATGACAGTCAACACTCAGTCAACACTCAGTCAACACTACAGTCAACGCTACAGTCAACGCTGCCAAAATGCTGGAAAATCCAGCATTTTGCTGTTCTGGAAGTTAAGAAGCTAAAACAACTATTATTTTCCTTTAAAACGAGTGAATTGTGGAATCTGCTGGTTTTCCCAGGGTTTTGGTAGTGTTGACTGTAGTGTTGACTGTAGTGTTGACTGAGTGTTGACTGAGTGTTGACTGTTATTTTGCACGCATTTGAAGCACCTTGGGAGTGCAAAACGGCATTCCAGCAAAGTTACTGTCGTTGAAGCCAGAAAAGCGACTCAGAAGGCTAGTCACTCACGCTCGTAGAACATACCCGGCAACACTCGCCGAAAGGAACTGAAGAACAGAAGTGTTTTTGCATCTAGGGACGGTGGATGGACGAAATCTTGCACCGCCTGTACATTCGTACTTCAAACGATTGAGGCATCAAGCCCCGCACCCCCTGCTTAACATTGGCGGTTAGGACTACTTGAGCGGTGCAAGATTTCGACCATTGGAACAAATCTGGCCGTTAGCTTTTCACAGCCAATGTTAAAAAGGGGGCACGGGGAACACAAAAAGACGTGTCTGAAAAGCGGTGCAAGATTTTGTCCATCCACAGTCCCTAGATGCAAAAACACTTCTGTTCTTCAGTTCCTTTCGGCGAGTGTTGCCGGGTATGTTCTACGAGCGTGAGTGACTAGCCTTCTGAGTCGCTTTTCTGGCTTCAACGACAGTAACTTTGCTGGAATGCCGTTTTGCACTCCCAAGGTGCTTCAAATGCGTGCAAAATAACAGTCAACACTCAGTCAACACTCAGTCAACACTCAGTCAACACTACAGTCAACACTACAGTCAACACTACCAAAACCCTGGGAAAACCAGCAGATTCCACAATTCACTCGTTTTAAAGGAAAATAATAGTTTTTTTAGCTTCTTAACTTCCAGAACAGCAAAATGCTGGATTTTCCAGCATTTTGGCAGCGTTGACTGTAGCGTTGACTGTAGTGTTGACTGAGTGTTGACTGAGTGTTGACTGTCATTTTGCATGCATTTGTTGCTTTTATAGGACATACAGCTTTTTCTAGCTTCTTCATGTCCAGAACAGCAAAACGCTCGATTCTCCAGCGTTTTGGCAGTACTGACTTGACCGTAGCGTTGAGTGTAGATGGAATGAGTTGCTGCGTCGTGTGTCCCGAGCACGTCCAGGCACCGTAGAAGAGGATGGGGACGCACTATCAGCTTCCAGTTTCTGCAGGTGTGCGAAAGATGCAAAAACACTTCTGCTCTTCGGTGGATGGACGAAATCTTGCACCGCCTGTACATTCGTACTTCAAACGATTGAGGCATCAAGCCCCGCACCCCCTGCTTAACATTGGCGGTTAGGACTACTTGAGCGGTGCAAGATTTCGACCATTGGAACAAATCTGGCCGTTAGCTTTTCACAGCCAATGTTAAAAAGGGGGCACGGGGAACACAAAAAGACGTGTCTGAAAAGCGGTGCAAGATTTTGTCCATCCACAGTCCCTAGATGCAAAAACACTTCTGTTCTTCAGTTCCTTTCGGCGAGTGTTGCCGGGTATGTTCTACGAGCGTGAGTGACTAGCCTTCTGAGTCGCTTTTCTGGCTTCAACGACAGTAACTTTGCTGGAATGCCGTTTTGCACTCCCAAGGTGCTTCAAATGCGTGCAAAATAACAGTCAACACTCAGTCAACACTCAGTCAACACTCAGTCAACACTACAGTCAACACTACAGTCAACACTACCAAAACCCTGGGAAAACCAGCAGATTCCACAATTCACTCGTTTTAAAGGAAAATAATAGTTTTTTTAGCTTCTTAACTTCCAGAACAGCAAAATGCTGGATTTTCCAGCATTTTGGCAGCGTTGACTGTAGCGTTGACTGTAGTGTTGACTGAGTGTTGACTGAGTGTTGACTGTCATTTTGCATGCATTTGTTGCTTTTATAGGACATACAGCTTTTTCTAGCTTCTTCATGTCCAGAACAGCAAAACGCTCGATTCTCCAGCGTTTTGGCAGTACTGACTTGACCGTAGCGTTGAGTGTAGATGGAATGAGTTGCTGCGTCGTGTGTCCCGAGCACGTCCAGGCACCGTAGAAGAGGATGGGGACGCACTATCAGCTTCCAGTTTCTGCAGGTGTGCGAAAGATGCAAAAACACTTCTGCTCTTCAGTACCTAACGTGTCTGCATGACACTTGTATCTGACATCAATATATTTATGGTAGCCGGAACGGGACGCTTGGTCACTCAGAGAACTGAACATGCAACAAGCAAGGTCCATCAATCCTGACCTGCACCGATCATTCATGCATATTCATGTGAGCTCGATGCACGCATCACCCCAGGCTGGCTGGTAAAGGTGCCAGCAACCCTGGCTAGGTAATGGACAGATGAAGCCTAACCCACACATGCAGGGGACTTTTCTCTTTGTTGAAGGGAAGCGGCTTTCACGCTGGGTCGCCAGCAGCATAGATGATCAGTTCGGACGGCTGTCCAGACGTCGACCTGACGCACTCCCAAAGCTAGACCCTTTAAACTCAAAACCGCATACCCCAAGCCCTAACCTGAACCCCTAAACCTCAGCCATTTTGTAACTAGAGTCTGCTAGAGTCCTCCCATCGCAAGCGGTGTACCTGGAGCAAGCACTCTCTCTGCGAGCCTGGGGGTGACCCATGTGTGGTAAGCCCTGAACCCGAAGGCCTAAATACAGGGCTGCCCTATGGGAAGCTGGAAATGGATCCGGGATCAGCCCCTAGCTTGAGGTTTTAGGGTCTCGGGGTTTTCAGAGTTGAAAGTTTGGGGTTTAGGGTCTAGCGGAAGGTACGCCACTGGGATGCAACAGGGCTTGAAGCATACGAAGCTTCCAGCGACCCTCCTCAAGCCATCTCATCCCCAGAAACCCTAAATGTAAAGCCCTTTCCCTTCAAACCCTGTGACCCCTTTAAGCCTGAACCCTTAACACCCGAACTTCTTGAAAAGCCTTGCCAGGCGGTGCCCAATCCCCAGCGAGCTGCGAGACTTTTGTTGCAGTGCCGACAACCGACTGCAGATTACTTCGGGCGGAGCCAAAAGGGTCTAGGGTTTAGTGTTTAGGGGCCACAATGCAAAGCAAAGCTTTCCCCCATTCAGATTGCTCAGCTCCTGTGCGAAGCGGCCCAGCAGGTTCGGCTTTCTCGAACGCAGTAGGGTTGCAGGGTTACAGGGTCTAGAAATAGGGTTTAGGGTTTAGGGTCAGGCTTGGGCAGGAGTGGAAATTCTGAGAGGCCTCTTTATGCCCAAACGTGTCAACAAGAAGGCCCCTAAGAGCCCCTAAGCACTTGCAGCCCTAAGCGAGGGTAGGGACGATTTCTTGCAGCGCGTTGGAGGAAAACCAGAATCTCCAGTCACGAGAGTCGACCTCCACATGGTTTCGCGCGGAAAATCTGAAAGAATCTAAAACCGAAAAACCCGAGTGAAGGTAGTGGAGTTCCCAAGTGGCTGTGCCCCCCCCCCCCACAGCAGGAAGGCAGTGAGTAGCTTGATTGAGTCGAAGGTATACGTCTTAGGGTTTAGGCCTGGTTTAGCTTTGAGGGCTCAGGGCTTTCGCTTGATTTTTCCGGCTCTTTGTAGCTTTCTTGAGAATCTGAGGGGCACTTGAATCTGCCCCTTCATGCAACAACGTAGAGCCTGTAGTAAACCTTGAGGCCTAAATCCGAGAATCTGTTATCCCTGAGCCCCTGAAACCCCGATTCCTGCAATCATTCCAAGTGTCTTAGGGGATTTAGGGTTGAAGGAAAAGGGGGGGGGGGGGCTGGAGGCTACTGGCTTTCCGGTTTCCAAGGTTTGGCGCTTAGCGTCAGAGTTTGTGGGGTTTTAGTGACCACAAGCCCGCTGCACCTGTTCATGCAACTGATGTTTTCTGCAGCCGACTGGCACATTCCACAGTTGCAGGCAGCACCATGCAATGGTATCATGAGCCTGAGATCAAGAAAAGGATCACAACATACTAGGAGAACTGCCATCAGTCATAGGCAAAGGTAAAGGTTAAAAGAGTCAACCAGAGGACGTAGTCCCTCTTCTAGGCATAGCGGCAATCCGTCCGCAGGTCGTCTTTGAGAGGAGATGGCAGTAGAGAGAGCCCAGAAGCACCTACAATACTTGGATGCTTTCCTGGCCAGGGGGTTCAAGACTCTACACTACCTGGATCAACTAAGAGCTCAGCTATCTGAAAGTGAGACCACCGGATTGTTTGGTCTCGGGCCGGAGAAGTCCGGCAAGCTTCTGGCAGCCTGTGTGGCTGAAACTTCTTTGCTCAGTGCCCTCTACTGGGTCATCTGTGCAGGAGCCCTGCTTGGCCGAAATCTGAGCTCAGAAGATTCTGAATCTCTGTCGCAAGTCCTTCACTTGGTCCGCTCCTGTCGCAAGGGTGCCGGCTTCGCCCCCCATCCGAGCCACGAGCCCGACTTGCTGTCCACTGTCAGCGCCGTGCAGCTTTCGGTGATCTTGAAGCGGCCTGAGATCCTCGAAGATGGCACCGGTGCCACCCGCAAGTACATCCTTTCCCTTCAGTTACCAGATGGGTCATTTACATCTCGCATAGGGTCTGCAGAAGAAGGTGACTGTCGATTCACTTTCGCGGCACTCTGTGGCCTCTCACTGCTGCGAGAGCCGGGGGCGAAGGACGGAGGGGAGTTGGAAGAAGTTCGCGACCCGGCGATGGTAGCTGAGTGGCTCTTGAACTGCCAAAACTTGGATGGAGGATTTGGCTGCCGGCCCAAAGGCGAGTGCGAATCCCACGCAGGCCACACCTTCTGCTGCCTTGCCGGACTAAGCTTGCTGCAGATGATACCCCGAATGACACATCGGAGCAGGCAGAGGCTTATCCGATGGCTGGGAAGTCGGCAATGTGAAGGAGGTGGCATAAACGGAAGGCCTGGCAAGAAGGCAGATGCTTGCTACACGTGGTGGACCCTGGCCAGCGCGAAACTGATATTGTCCTCGGAGGGAAGCAGTCCTTCCGCAACTCTAGCAGACTTGTTCGACCTTCCCGCCTTGGAGAAGTTCCTTTGTCATAGTTGGGTACCATTTTAGGTACCATTTTACATGTTTCAGGCGGCTTAAACCCTATAATAAGGAATTACAAATTTAAGTTCGCAATATTATCCCAACCGTGAACTAGGTTCCTGGAGGAATGCGCAAGTCCTGATGGAGGAGTCGCGCCCCATCCTGGCGACGACCCCGATCCTTTCCACACGTTCTTTGGGCTGTCTGGCTGGTCCTTAGCAGCCCATGCACAAGCAGACGCTTCAACCAAGGGTTGGCTTCAGGATATGCATGCTTCTCTTGTGCTGCCCGTGGGCTTGACTGGGACAGTTTGATGAGAACCTGTGCTTAAGGCGGAAGAAAGAGGTTGCGTACTGTGTGCAGAGCAAAGGTTGAGCATGGTAAATTAGGGTGGAGGGTTTAGGGTTGAGGGTGTGGGGTTTAGAGTCTAGAGTTTAGGATTCATGTCGCTCCATTGCAGATTAGATTCGCTGATGAGCTTTTCTTATACAGCGATGTCACGAAATTTGGTCGCAATGTTTGCATGCACCCGTTTATTTTGACTAGCCCAAATGTCTCGTAATCTTTGTGGGATATTTCGACAGATGTGGCATAGGTCGCTGCAATTAAAGCTTTCTTTCGGGAGGTGTTGGCTCAGTTTCGTCAGAATTCGAAGAAGAGAGCTTGTGCTTGATGTTCGGCGTTTTCAGAAATTAGACAACCGGTCTTGGAGTAAAGCAACAATCGTCACGACCCTGTTTCAATTCGATTCGTCACCTGCGCAAGAATGAGGACCCCTGTCTAACTAGGGCTTTGAGAAAAACTCGCGCTCTATACTCTGGCACATTTGGGCATATCTTCAGACAGGGAACTGGCTTGGTATTTAAAGTCTCACACGTAGTTGCAGATACATATACAAAAATGGATGTGGTATGAACTTCGTTCTTCCCTCCAACTGCTCAGTTGACGAGTTGTGGGAACTAGGTGCCTGTTGCGCACGGTGCGTTGAGCAAGATGTAGTGTGAGGCCCACGTGCTGTTTAGTTTTGATGCTGCAGATTCCAGTTAGCATGCGGTTTGCGTTGCTCAGCAGATCTCTGCAACAATTCTGCTTCTAGGGGCCTCCAGTCGGCTTAGTCATGAAGGTTGGTGGACACGCACAAGTTGCCTTCCCAAAAGACTTTACAATGCCAAGCAAAGATGGTAGAAATGGTACCTGTGGTCAGAGCCGTCCCACGAAACATCATCCAAGCATGGACTTCTTCCAATTGTCCACGACGTCTTTGTGCTTCCCGAACCTCTGAATAAGAGAAGCAGCTGCGCATGGACGGGTGGCCCGGGCAGTGAGATATGCAGTAGCCCCAGAGGACCCGTAGACTGGACTGCACACAGATTCTGTGACGGTGCGGCTGGAGAGAAGTGAGGGAGGAGGTTTTAAGAGGCAGGATGAACCTAAAGTGATCTAGGCCAATTCCAGCCGCAACACCGACCCTGGGTCGCACATCCTATACTATATCCCCCTTTGGAATTATTCATGAAACCCAAGAGGCCCCACTTCTCAGTCAGTCTGGCAAAGCAACCGTTCCAGAATGTCCAAATCCAAGGCACCCTCCCCAAGAACAATCTTCAGCAAGCCCATGACCGCCAGCGGTCAGCAGCCATATCTTGCAAAATAGTCCAGAAACCTGAAACCCTAAACCCTAAACCCTAAACCCTAAACCCTAAACCCTAAACCCTAAACCCTAAACCCTAAACCCTAAACCCTAAACCCTAAACCCTAAACCCTAAACCCTAAACCCTAAACCCTAAACCCTTCCTACCATCCCTCTAAATGCAGACCTGGGCCTTGATCAGTAACCCAGCTCGTTGGAATGCTGTCAGGCCGGGCACGTAACAAGGCTTACGGCTTTAGGGTTGTAGAGTTTAGAGTTTTAGGGTCTATTTAGGGCCAAAACCCTAGACCTAAACCCTAAACCCTAAGTTGTAGAGTTTAGGGATCTATATAGGGCCTAGGCCTTAACCCTACACCTAGACCCTAAACCCACAACGTCTGGAGTTCAAGGCCCAAGCCCTCGCCACTCGGTTCGACCCCGGCGTCGTCCGGAGCCTACAAAATCACGAAAGCTAGCTCTGTGGAGCTGGCGGGAGTTGTCGTTTACCCATGCACTGGTATTCACCTTGTTAAGAAGCTTCCAGGGAAAAAAAGGGTTCCACACCTTAACAGGTCCGAAACCCAAGACTTAAGGTGGGGGTTGGGGGGGGGGCCCCCCCCCCTCACCATGAAGCATGTTCGAAGGATAAGGTGCCGGCGCCCCCCCCCCCCCCCCCTCCTTTAAGGTGGTTGCGTGTGGGACAAGGTAGGGGGGGGCCCCCCCCCCCTACCACCTTCAGCCCCCCCCCCCCCCCCCACAAGGTCCCCCCCCACCCCACCCCAAGGTCCTCCCCCGTTCCCCACAGTCATGAAGGTCTGTGGTACTTTGCAGAGATCGTACTGAACAGAGCGTCCCTGTACCTAAACTTCGTTTGCGACACGGGGTTCCAGCGGGGGAAGCAAGAAGGAGTTTAGGGCTTCAGACTACGCCGGCGGCTCCAAGTCCTGCCGACTCGCTGCATGCCACCCCCCTGCGGTGACTAGCTTTCGTAGCCCCTTCTCAAGTGTTTCCGGGGCATGGGTTTAGGGTTGAGGGTTTAGGGTTTAGGGTTAGGGCTTAGGGCTGAGGGCTTAGGGCTTAGGGCTTAGGACTTAGGGCTCAGGGATGTGGAGTTCGATGTAGCGTGCAGGGCTTAGCCCTGACGCCTTGGCCTGAGCCTCAAGCCACATGCCGGGATCCCTCTCAAGATGCTGCAGCAAATATCCAGCGCTCTCATCGAGATTCTGGCCGTGCTGGTTTTACTCCAGATCTCTCGCCTGCCACTGTGACTCGCGTTGTTGTCGCGATTTTTTTGCTGGGCCTCGATCCTCTCATGTTGAGGCGACTTTACCAACCCAGTATACTTAGCACAAATTGTAATTGGGTCTACTCCTGCAGATGCATTTAGCTGTCAGACGCATCAGGGTCAAAGTGGCCTGGATGCGAGCTCAGCCTCAGGATGTCATCCTTCAGCATGCAGCTGCTCACACTGAACATCTTAAGAGAGAGCTCTTCGCCTCATGTTTTCTGCTTGCTGGTCTGGATGGGCCTCTGGTCATTTTTAACCATCGCCACTATGGTGATGTCAGCCAGGAACCTGGTAGATTGAATCCTTAGACCCCTTGATGCATCACTGCGCACTTTTCAGCCTCAGCTTGTTGCAACATGTCGTGCCTGGGTATATACTGTTACATGGACGCACTGCCGCTGTTTTGAACTGTAAGGGCTGCACTTGCCCCAGCCTGTCGTTTCTTATGGAAATTCAGGACGACAGCTACTTGAACATATTGACTGAAGCTGTTTCCTCTGAACCTTCAGAAGTCGTTGACTGTCCAGTTTCTGGCTCTTTTCGATGTCGGATTGTCATCGATGTTAGTTGTCAGGTCCTCATGGGCCTATCAGCCCTGAACATCTTGGTGGAGTGCTTTTGCTGGAGGTGGACATCGTGCGAGAGGCGCTGTGCAAGCATCTAGAGATGATACAGGGAGCCCGTCTGGGAGAGCACGTCTGATGCTTGCATCGTCACGCTGGGTTTGGCGTTTGGGGTTGGGGGGTTCAGAGGTTTCGGGTTAGGCTTATACTTCACTGGGGTAGTAGAATCACGGCTCAGCATGCTCGCCAACTTTAGTAGTGAGTGGCTTGAGGTGTCACACCTTGAAAGACCAAGGCTTCATCATGCAACCTGCCCTTCCCGAAACATGAAAAGGCGTCCTTGTGGACGTAGACGCGTCATGATCAAGCCCTGGAAACATCTTTTGCTGTCCAACGTCTGCAGCACTGCTGTGCATCTGCCCTTCCAACGCCCGAGGCAGAAGACGCAAAGGTTCTCAAAGCTTACAGTTTTCTATCGAGCTCTTGAGTGGTTCCATTTAGCTATACTTGCTTTACATCCCAGTATGTATGTGCGAAGGAGACATGCCGTCAGAAGAACGAAGCTCGTGGCCGAGGGTGGCTGCGCTGCCGAAAAGCTATGTGCTCGGACGCATAGGGAGCGCATGCCAGCAGATGCGGGGAAGTGCGTCCAGAGTGCACAACCCATCTTCCTTCTGTCCGGCTCATGTCAGTGCCAGTCGCCAGACTGCTTAGTAGAGCGCTTCTGCTACGCCAGGTCTGGTCACATGCTCGGGCAGAAAAAGTGCTTGGAGTAGTTACCTTAAAGGCACCTTTCATGAAGTACCTTGTACCTTCAAGTTAAAGCTTCCCTGCGGGTCCAACGTGCCCATCATGGCCATGGAGGGCAACGCGCCTTGCGCATCTGTTCAACGCCGCACAGATGGGGCGGACCCGCGGCTGCTGGGCCGCTGCATGGATGGCCGGCAGTCGTTGCAGAAGGTCCGTTTGGGGCGGGCATGTTGTTTGACGTTGATTCACGTTGTGGCATGTCCGCGCTTCTGGGATGTCTGCGTGCGCGCAGTGCAAGTCATCATGCCCGACCCGGCCCCTTTATTGTCATCTGTAGGAGGAACAAGCTGATGGGCGCCAGGCGAAGCGATTCGAGGCCATGGCCTGTTTGGGAGCTTCAGTTAGTGAGGTTGTGGGCTTGATATAGGTACATGTGGTTCTGCTTCGTGCCTTCTGCAATAGGTTGAGACGTTGTGCTGTTTTTCCTTCTTCGTTCTGACCATGACGAGGTCTGAACATACATGCGTCGTCTTGTTTGGACCATTTGAAATGCCCTTTGTTGAGATTGATTTCCCCTCTTCTTTTTCTTGCCACGGCAGGTCCCGCAAGCGTCAGTAGGAGCCGGCTGGGCCCTGCTCCTTCGGGAGGCCCGTGTGCGCTCCACAAAGCACAAGAGCAGCGAGCTTGTCGGCGTCTTGGAAGAGGGTGGCTGGGTTCTGGTGGAGGAGGTTTCCTCCAAATCCGCTCGCATCCAAGACCCTCTTGCTGGGTGGATTGCCTTGGAAAGAGCTTCGGGGCCCATCCTCCAACAGGATCCCTGGCAGCGGGTCGTCCACTCTTTGGGCGGCCGGAAAGCTGGGACGATGGCTACAGCTACTGTCAAGAGCACTTTAGAAGACGCCACACTTGGTCAGCTACAGGCTTGCAGCGAGCTTCTTCCAGCAGTGTGTACCTCCACAGCACCTTCCTCACAAGCGTCTCCGGCGTCCCCCACGCAGAGCCTGCAGCTACTGGTGCTGCCCCAGACGGGTTGGGAGATGATCTACTCTCTTTTCGAGCCGCCGGTAGAGAGGACCTCACCTT